AGATTTGTTTGTTTGCTGTTATGCACAAAGTTACACAATGGGCTATCTGTGCGCTGCTTACCACGGGTATCAAAACCCGGTTTCTAGCGTTGTAAGTCCGCAGACATACCGCTGTGCCACTGGGGGGCTAGAGTTCAGATCATATCACTGATAATTAAATGTCTGACTGACGTAAACACTAAAATTGACGTAAGAATTGGTATTATTTTATAACAATGATTTTGTCCTGTCTTAGTTATAATATTATACATTTTCAATATTTCTAATTGTTTTGAGTAACGTAGTATAAATATATAGAGTAACAAATAAATAATAACTTAAGACGAGAACTGAAAGCTCGAAATAACGGTAACTGATTTATGTGAGATTAAAATACAAAATAATGAGTATTTAGAAAAATGAAATTAAAGTGAAAATGGTGAAAGCTAAATAATGTAAAAAAACAGCCATGGTTAACTAATGTGATCGTAAAATATTAAGTAATCCTCACTGAATATCACGACCATAAAATCAACTGAATCGAGAATTTGTTGTCCTGAAAGTGGATTTAGCTCCCCCACTTTTATTGGTAACCCAATTCAAAAGCCCTTTCAAACGCGAGTTCATGTTTTCTTTTTGAAATGTAATTTGTACGGTCACATCAAGACATATTAACATCTCAGGTGAGTAGCTTATGAAGTAAACCTTTGGTTAGGGATAACAAGTTCTAATTCCTTACAACAGAAGTAATTACTTTACTGATATGGAGGAGATAAGAGAAGCTGGTCAGAATAAATAAAGTAAGAAAGATACTACTCTATTGATGCAATGTTTATTGGCAGGTTGTTGGATTCATTTGCTTTAAAGGAGAAATGTCAGAAATATAAGCATTTTTAGTTTAATTCTATACTAGATAATTTTTGTTCATGGGATATTACAATAACGGTATAGATTATTTTAGTATGCACACGTATATAAAATGTTACTTAAGAATAAAACTGTAATAAAATTTAAAATTTGGCTATATTTTGTCAGAAAAACCAATTATATAAGTTTGTTAATTGGATGTGGCTTTCAAAGTTTATACTTATCAAGAGTGAGTCTTATGACGCAAAATGAGACAACATTTTTGTATCTGTGGTAATCTTCATGTCTGATGTTCTTCAACATGTATAAATGAATTTCAGAAATCCACTTGAATTCAGTAATTCCTTATTGAATATTTGCCCCTAATATCAAATCAGTCAACCACAAATAATACGATTATGTTTAAATATTTTGTAAGTTATATTGTTTGCTAATTTTTCAGTATCTTTAAATGTCTTGTAAGTTATATTGTTTGCTAATTTTTCAGTATCTTTAAATGTTTTGTAAGTTATATTGTTTGCTAATTTTTCAGTATCTTTAAATGTTTTGTAAGTTATATTGTTTGCTAATTTTTCAGTATCTTTAAATGTTTTGTAAGTTATATTGCTTGCTAATTTTTTTAGCATCTTTAAATGTTTTGTAAGTTATATTGTTTGCTAATTTTTCAGTATCTTTAAATGTTTTGTAAGTTATATTGTTTGCTAATTTTTTTAGTATCTTTAAATGTTTTGTAAGTTATATTGTTTGCTAATTTTTCAGTATCTTTAAATGTTTTGTAAGTTAAATTGTTTGCTTATTTTCAGTATCTCTAAATTTTTTGTAAGTTAAATTGTTTGCTAATTTTCAGTATTTTTAAATGTTTTGTAAGTTAAATTGTTTGATACTTTGTTCAGAGAGTTCACCATTTTACTTGTCTTTTGATGATATATATATAAAGTTTGAAGCCTAAAGAGGTCTGAAATGCTCTAAAATTACGCTTTTCGAGTTATTTATATATAATCAACATAATGTAGTGTCAAACTTTAGTGACCTACTTTCGTTTTTTTATACTTTCAGAAGTAGATCAAGTATACATGATTTTACGATTTAGTTTTCGGGGAGGATTGTTAAACAACTAGATAATTCTAACATAAGTAGGTGGGTGTATTATCGAAACAGTATCTACACTGACTGCCAGTTTATAAGGACATGTTCGTAGCACACTATTTTTTTCTTACATAAAATAGACTGATTATGACATATATATATATATACACCAGAAGACTGGATGGGCTCTGTAAATTCAGGTATGTAATTGTAGAGGGCTGGTACAAAATACCATTTAGGGATGGAGAATCGTAAAGCATTCTGTTTTATCGTTTGATGTATAAAAACATATGCGAAACATAAGTATGAAAAAGTGGCTATAATTAGTGCTACAAAATGACCTTGAAACTGGACCTACTTATTATGTGACGTCATTAGGATATGCGTTAGAAGGTGTATATTTCCTACACCCACACAATATTAACACTTTGGCAATAAATGCACAACCTACTAACAAGTAAATATCCCCATCTCGAAAGTATGAATTGTCCATTTTAATGACATCTTATCCAAATAACCCTTACATACTGGTGTCGTTCGATAAAGACTAAATAATACTTACAGTATTAAGAAGAAATCGACAGGTTTCTTTAGAGTTACTAAGGCGACAATGTAATTTCCATCATATCGGAAAACAACAGTTTTTGCATGTCCTGGACACACAAAGTCAACAGAATAGACTATCCGTGCTGTGAGAAGTGTGGAGAATTATCCACGTCAAGTGGCCGCAGGTATTGCAAGTATATCCTAATACCCCATAAATTATCTTTATAATATGAGCTAACTCCAGGTAATATCGTATGTTGATAACAATGTGTATCGCAGATGCTATCACGCCCTCTTTAGGAACATTGTATTTTTTTTTCGACGAGTCCAGATTTGCACAGTTCTCGTAGAATGAATGCATTTGAGTTTGTCGATTATTCTCCTAGAAAATGTATTTGAACTGTCTCTAAGCATGGCGGTAATTCTGTTTTGATCATTTGGGCAGCTGGTGGTATGCTAAGAGTTGATCACTCGTGTTCGATACATCATAATTCTAGCGCAAGGCTTTTTACCTGTTTACATCAGTAATCAGTTTTACAGACAATGCAGTGTGCTCGCGCTTATTCAACCCAAGTAACAAAATTATGGCTTGAAGATCAAGGCATTACCATTCTTTTGTGGCCAGGAAATTGGCGGATATGAAACTTATCGAGCATTAGTTTTCCATCCTTGATTATCTTTTGAGAAAACATACCAAACAACCAATACTTATGGGCACCCTTATCGAATTTCGTGTTAATACGATACATTCTATTATTTTATACATTTTGACTGTGAATATTTCTGTAAATTTCTACTGTACTATTTATAATATAAGGCCGTAGATTGTTTAAATGTTAAGCTCTAGAATAGTATCAAGTTTAACTGTACAATTTCTATTGGTTGGTTTATCAATTAGTTGTACTTATTAGGATTCCTAATAGTAATAAATGAGTCACACAAAAATGTAAATACAAGTATGATATATGATGGATATTGAAATTAACCACCCTCATTACTGTTGGAGTTCATATGGATGTATTTACCAAAGAAAATGAATAATTTTACCCTGTACTTTTGGTCGATTTTTTACATTGGGTATTGTAACAGGCAAACACATAAAATTGTACTTGAACGTTGTTCACAATCATATCTATCTTACAATAATGCATTTCTACTCTGATGTATAAGAGTTCACAGTTTGATAATGAAACAACCAACTGTACGTTTGCTGTTCGTAATTGAGTCAAAGATTATCACAGCGATTTATGTTATTTGTCATCTCATGCACTTGATATTAATACAACTGAGTATCTTTGGAATGATCCTGATTGTCACGTTCACCACTGATAACTGTGAACCAACTGCAAATGATATTCTTCAAGCAACCAAGAACGTTAGCAAGACTTCCAAAGACAGGTTCTGTTGCAAATGCAAAAGTGTCGCTAAAAAATTTAAAGTACACGTTTTATAAAAAAAAGTACTTCGCATTGGTAGAACACTTTCATCTGGTGTTCTAATGTTACCAGAATATTTTGGTAATAAAGTTAGAAAAAAAATGAACTTTACTCTCCAGATAATAATAAAAACACTTTTTATTTCAGCCAATGCTTCATCATTGCGGTTTCATCAGGGCTGGTAGTAGAAGTGCTTCATGTTAAAATGTACGTTAACTTAATAAACTATTTCTGGTGTTCTATTCACCATAATTAGGTGAAGATCATAATAAAGAAGCCAATCAGTTTACATGAATTTTTTGAAATAATTTCTACTAACAACATGAAATTTATAAGTATCATAATGGCAGTAATTTAGAGGCTAAAAAGTCATACATTATTTTAGCCACTTTCCAGGTCTATAAATAAAATTAATTAATTATAAGGTTGATTGATGGAAACATATAACATATAATTAACAACAACCATAAACAATAACAATAAGTCACTTACAAACAAGGCATGAAAAAAGCTTTCATCAAATTGCTCAATTCAGAAATTAGATCTGGCATCTAGCGAGCTAAGATCAAATAATGAAATACGAAATTTTTTTTGTTAATAATTCTAACAAACTCACATTTTTTCACAATACTTTGTTCTAGAGAAAACAAGTACATTTGAATATTTTGGTAATAAAGTTGGAAAAATAGGAACTTTACTCTCCAGATAATAATAAAAACATTTTTTATTTCAGCCAATGCTTCATCATTGCGGCTTCATCAGGGCTGGTAGTAGAAGAAGTGCTTCATGTTAAAATTTACGTTAACTTAATAAACTGTGTCTGGTGTTCTATTCAGTTAATAAATTAGCGAATATTTTCACATCAAACAGTTCTTGTACTATTATTAGCCCTAATGAAGCCACAGTTGCAGAACGTTGGCTGAAATAAAAATATATATACATTTTTTTTCTAACTTTATTGTCTAAATCTCTCTTGTATGCACTGTAAATTCTGAGAGTATTTGAAATTATTATATAGGTAATTTTATGTATCATTATTATTTCAACGAGAAAAGTAACCATAGAGAGAAATGAGAATGGGCAAACCTGAAGAAGTCCATATTTTATCTCTATTGGTAGGAAGTTGTACTCCCTAACGGCAGATGGTAGATTTTGAGGTAGTCTGTCCTCCAAGCAACCAAGAACGTTAGCAAGACTTCCAAAGACAGGTTCTGTTGCAAATGCAAGAGTGTCGCTAGAAAATTTAAAGTACACGTTTTAAAAAAAAAGTACTTCGCAATCAGCCTTAAAAACAGAATTTATTATGAAAAATATAACAATCAAACGCTCATTATTGGCTTTTAAGACTCGTTAAGTTTTATTGTGAGCTCGTTAGATATCTGGTAACGAGAGTGTTAATGGGAATTCAAGGCCAAGTGATTAAAAAAGGCATGTTTCAAAGATAAGGGCTTTTTAATTAACATGTTCAGAAAAAAAGTGTGGAAATGTAATCCGTCAGCAGTAAGGTGTCTTTTTCTGAATGAGTCTCATATATATTTTTTTCATTTCGAAGTCGTTAAAGCTAGTTGTAATTGCATTACAGACACTTTCGTCGACCAGTTTTGATTACATTACCCACTTAAGTCCTGCAAAATTCTGAATAAATGAATAAATTACAGAAGAAATTGGAATTGAAAAACAAAACAGTATAGTGATAATTGCGCGACGGTAATTTTAAAGTGATATTTCTTGTGAAATATTGTACAAACAACATTGTAAGAGTGATTGAAAACATTTAAAGATAAACTCACCTATAAATTTAAATATCAGATAGGTATTCGTTTTAGAAACGTAATATAAAAGAGATATTAGGTGGGCCTATATTTATGATGATGCTCCAGAGTGGCACAGCGGTATTTTTGCGGACTTTCAACGCTGGAAACCGGGTTTCGATACCCTTGGTGGGCAAAGCAAAGATGGCCCATTATGTAGCTTTGTGATTAACTTCAAACAAAAAATTTATGACGATAATGATTCATGAGTCAGATTATTAGGTCTTGTTAGTTCTTGTATTTTTATAATTATTTCGTTTAACATCGTGTATTAAATAATTCTTATACATATTTAATTATATCCAAATGATATCAATCTCAATTTTTATTTACACAGACTCGCATTTGTACTAATTGTTTTCTGATGAAACTTTTAACCATTTGTATTACTTTTATCTTAATTTTTTACCACCATGTTCTTAATCCTTACATTTGTAGACAAACAATATTGTTATATCAGTTTTAATTGGTATAATCCTTGATTTATAAGTATTTTTACAGCCAACCATTATAAATCTTAGATTCATTAATATTTGTACTTTATTTTGTATTAATATGTGTTTTATGCTAATTTTTGTTCGTTCGTGTTCTTGATGTTCGTTTTATGTAAATTTTTGAACTCTCATGTTCCATAACTTCAGTTCATGCTGATTTATTTCTTAGGTTATTCTGTATTTTCATTTATATTAATTGTGCTGCATTGACGAAGTTAGAAAATATGAAGGAGAAAAAGTACTTCAGAAAAATTCCTCAATATTTTAACTATTTTATTCATCTTTTAAACATAAAACTTAGATAACAGTGATTGTTTGTTTGTTGAATTTCGCGAAAAGCTACTTGAAGGTTATCTGAGCAAACCGTCCATAATTTTGAACTGATCGACAAGGGGGAAGGCAGCTAATCAACACCACCCACCGCCAACTCTTGGGCCACTCTTTACTATTTAAAAGTTGAACTGACCGTCATTTTATATAATATTAATTTTGTTTACATTCGGACGTTTCGGGTGTGCACCTTTAACGTTTACAGTTGCCGAAGAGGTTCGGATATAAATAACAACCAGACTTCATTATTAATGAAAGTCTTTAGCCTATAACTGTATCACTTTAATCGCTGATAAAGTATAAAACTGAAGCATAGGAATGTTTACCTGGAGGTAAAGATCGGTGTATCAACACAAAAAGCTGTCAATATGCGCTGTCTTTAAACTTTTTTTTTTTTTTTTTTTTTTAACCCATGTGTGTCACGTCACGTCACATTGATTTCTCGAAATAGAAGGAGTCATAAAAGGCAAAATGCATTTATATCCAGATAGAATAGTTCGATTACTGTCTGCCCATTACGATGTTAGTGACGGGGGAGCAATGGGGCGTGAGAGTGGGTGGGTGCCTTGAAACCTTATAAGTGTAGTAAGTGTTGGTATAATATGCCTAAAGTAAAGACGTAGTGTGGGATCATCTAGCCTTTAGCCAAGTGCATAAAATTTATCATGAAAGTAAAAATATCGACTCAATTTTAAACTTAAATCGTTTATGAATTAAGCTATTTTTTATTATATCATGAGCTTTTTAAATAAAAAAACAACAGCAAACCGCTTTAAGAAACGGAGACTCTAAATTAAGAACTCAAGAAATATTTTCCAGTTTGTTGTCTATACATGTCATTTTATACTTTCAGTAAATAGACTAACAACAATATTAGGTTATATTTTTGTTGCTAAGCAGCATGCCTTAAAAGCCATTATTAGAACATAGTGTTGCTAAAATGCACTGGCTTTTCTATATATTAGAAGTTGTTAATCTAACTGATTTTTATGGTCTTAATTTTGATTGGCTAATAAAGGAACTTACCGACATTTCACTGTCTCAACTGTACTTTTCTATCTCTTTGTTGGTGAATCTTGATTTCGCAAAATACATTTATTTCATTTAGGTTATACCATGGAGTGGGGGTGATAGTACATTTTTACCGGGCTATACGCTAGTGTACTGTTACGACAGCTGGAAGCATGCACGCTGGAGTTTCTAGAAGGATGATGACTGATCCTGGCAGCTGTTCTAGTCTTTTCTAGGCGCCCTCTATTTTAGTATATAAGCCCGGCAAATAAAGCGGAGATATAATTGCATATAGACAGTTATAGAGACAGATAATTGAGTCAAGCGAACGGTGGTGACTGTAAGTAAAGTGCGTAAATCGTTGTGAATTATAGTGTGTGTTTAAGTTAAAGTGAATGTGGAAATTCTGTGTATTGCAAAGTTGTATTGAGAAAGAATCAACTAGTTTTATTTAAGAAAGGACTTGTATCGCTGAAGTTTTTTGGAAAGAATTTCTATGGGAAATTAACAAACAAGCAAATACGTAACAAACTGGTGTCAGAGAGTGGGACGGAAAAGAAAAAAATGGAAACAAGAAGTGGCAAATCAAACTACAGCTTAGCAGATTTGATAGCAGCAATACAAGAACAGCAACAGAAACAAGAAGAACGAGAAAATAAACAAGAAGAGAGATTACAGCAGTGGTTGGAGGAGAAAGAAAAGAAACAAGAAGAACGAGAAAATAAACAAGAAGAGAGACAACAGTAGTGGCAAGAAAATCTGCAACAGTGGCAGCTCGAACAGCAAAATAAAGAAGAGAGATTACAGCAGTTGTTGGAGGAAAAGAAAAGAAACAAGAAGAGAGACTACAGCAGTGGTTGGTGGAGAAAGAAAATAAACAAGAATAGATATTACAGCAGTGGCAAATGGAAGAAGAAAGGAAACTGGAAGAAAGTATCCAACAGTTGAGAGAAAGCCAGCATACACAAATGGAAAAGATTAATACATTTCAAAGTGAATTAAATACATTAAAGGATGATTTACTGTCTTTTTACACAAGGAGGATATATGAGCCATCGACATAATCAGCCTCAGACAACGGGAAGCCCTTCCAGACCCTGCAGCTAAACCCTAATGCAGACACATTCAGTCTTGTCAGAAGTCACATTCCAGACATGAGTGTCAGCAATAGAGGTGATCTAGTATGAAGGAAGCCACAGTAATTAGATGGGAAGGCACTGTAGGAAGCATATAGAGCACAATTTGAGCTCCTGGAAGAAATGAATGTATGGACAGAGGAGCAGAAAGCAGTATATCCGGCAACGAGCCTGAAGGGACAGCCACTGGAAATACTTGGACAGTTGTCAGCATACGACAGGCACAACTATAAAGCACTGGTAGCTGTTCTAGAACTCAGGTATGGAACTCAAAATCAGTCCAAAGTCTACAGGGCTAGGTTTAGGACTAGAGTCCGTGCTAAAGGGGAGAGCCTGTAAGAGCTGGTACAGGACTTGAAAAGTGTGGCACACAAGGCCTACCCAACTGCACCACTCGATTTCCTCAAGCGGTTGCTGAGGGATCAGTTTGTAGACGCCTTGGACAGTCTACAACTGAAGATACAAGTGAAGCAAGCACACCGCTGTACTTATACAAGATGCAATGGCCAGAGCTCTTGAATTCGAATCCTACGTTAAGTCCAGCACAGAGGTACCAGGGTTGGTACAGTTATCAGGATTCAAGGCCAGAAAAGGGCAGCTTTCAGAGAGGTTTGAGGGACTTTGCTGGCACTGTAACAAACCTGGTCACAAGAAAGCTCAATGCAGGAAACTTCAACACAGGGAAGATGCCATGGCAGGAAAGGCTGCTTCCCAGAAAGGTTGCTGGAACTGTGGTGAGCAAGAACATATGAGGAGCCAGTGCAAGAAGAATACTACCAATAAGTCAGCCTAGGGGAACCAGTAGTGATTAGTGTTTAGGGACGCCCACCAACCCTCATCGTGAAAGTCCCAACAGCTAGGTGTAAAATGCCAAGGACACATAGTGTCTACGTGACAGGAAACCTTGATGGCCAAAAGGGCAACTTTGTCATAGATTCTGCATCCCAGCAAACCCTTGTGAGTATCAAGGTGCTAGATCACAAAGGAGTACCAGAAGCCATACAGAAGTTTTGTAGTGTGACAGGACATTATGCAAGGTTGAGGGGACCAGTGGGGTTAACTATTGAGCTCATGGGCATGAAGGACAAACACAAAGTATACTTGGCTGACATTGAAGACCAATGCATACTAGGGTTGGACTATTTACTACCGAGGAAGTGTGTAGTTAATTTTGATAAAATGACGTTTGGGAACAACAAAGGCCAAATTCCAGTAAGTGTTAAAAGAGAGATTGGACTAACCAGGTGCCATCAAGCTGAAGTCAAAGTGACTGAAATAGTCGATGATGGTAAAGTGGAACCAGGTATAGATATTAAAGCAGAGCAGGAGAAAGACCAGGATTTGAAGCCAATAATTGATTTCCTGCAAGTAAATATTTTGCACCCTGCTTGGGAGAAGGTGTCTAGCTACGGGAAGTTGTGCTGCATCAATTCCATCATAGTTTAACAGGAG